AGCGATGTAGTACAGGTTTCTGTCGTTTCTGGCTGTGCTGTTGGCGGGGCTGGATGTGAAGTTGGATAGCAACACATCATCAGTCCATTCAGAGAGCCAAACATTGGTGACATTGTAGCAGACGTGGTAACAGGCAAACAGGAATATGATCAGGGATGAGTGACCAACACCTATACCTTTGACCAGCTCCCAGTACATGGACCATTTCACCTATAAATCATAATTTAAAAAAAAAAAGAAATATAGAAACAAGTATGGTAATCAAATAGGCTTTTATTTGATACACATATAAGGAATGCACTCATCATCAAACCCACCCACCACACGCTAGTTCATAACCGTTTGTGGTGCGTACCCCAATATACGGTAACTAAGTAAAAGGTAAAGGACCATTTTTCACGCCTAAAGCGTACTGGGCATATAAGGATAGATCTAAAGCCAAGTTTCTATTCAGTGATTCCCAAACTGTGCGCCGCGGCAAAATATTCGAAGATACACATTTTTTTTCCTCTTACGTACGAAAAGTCCTACTTTTACTTAGGTTAGGGCGCCGTGGAAAAATTTTATTGAAAAAAGGCGCCGCGACCAAGAAAGATTTGGGAAACACTGCTATAGTCAGTTATTTTTGTAAGTGACTAGCTGATGTAGGTTATTGGTGACCCAAAGTGTGGGCCCGTAGGTGTCTTATGTTGTGGACTAACGTCAAGTCAAGTCAAGGCTAGGTGTTCCCTTTTGAGGCGACACCGCCTTGGAAGCATACCAATGGATATCTGGGAGTATTAGGCGGACAGTAGATCTGTGATCACCAATTCATCTTTATCATCATAATGTGTTTGATAATAATAAAGAGACTGACGCACTATTAAAGAGCTGACTAGTAATGTGATATTGTTGACACTGTTATCAGTGTCGGTGGAACGATGTGACTATGTGTAAGCACTTTCCGGTAGGGAACTCAAAAAACCGTCGAACAGTCGACTTGGGAACTTTTGTATATATATATAGGTGAAGCATAATCATTCACCCCTAGACACTTTGTCAGATGTGCGATTCATACCCCTGAACGGCATACAACAGTTGAGTTGATCCAAGAACCGACATCACAGCACTTGGGGCATTACCATAAGCGCTCGGCTTCATCCTCGGCAGCCAGCGCAGTATTCCAGTAACTGTGGTACCAGCAGCAGTTTGATATACGTTTGTCTTGCCTTTCCTCTGAGCGGCCAGATCCTCTCATCAGTCCTCGCTACACTACTCTCACCAGACTGTGATGATCCATTTGCTCCTCCGAATTGTACACCTGCTCCCACAGGGTCTTAACCACGTCCACCTTATAGCCATGTGCACCTGTGGAAATGTGCCCCAGACCGCAGAGCATGAACTCCAGGACTGCACCGATTATGACACATTAAGGCAAACATTTTGGCCAAAAAACAACAACAGTGGAACGTAAACTCAATGGACCACTGAATGAACTAACAACGACAGTGAAATTTTTACAAGAGACAAAACTGCTGATATAGATAACTTATTTCAGGCGAACGAAAGAAGAAGAAGAAGACGTCCGCCTTATCATGCATCAGTGTTATACTAAGTTGTGCAGAGCCAGCCGATCTGTCCTTCGGTTCATTTTCCATCACATCGGTATTTTCCAACACACCGGCATACCCGGTGCTTTTGTCTGTACAAATAAAATAACATAAAGAACTCAAATACTGGTTTTACCTTCCCCAGCGCTTCTTCCTCTTCTGTTGTCAGTCTACTTTTGTCTGTTTTATCCTTTTCCTCCTCGTAGGCTGAACCCACATGAACATGCTGTCTTGTCATAGACCTCTGGCTAAGCTCCAGATGAGATGAAATCTCGCTGTTCACCAAACAAGAATAAAACATGAATGGTTAAAGTTAATGAAAACATAAAGGAATCTGCTTTACGCCAATGTCGAAGACAGTATATAGTGCTAGAATTATATATTTTGAAGACCAACCGTGGACTTCTTGATTAGTCAACATCACACCGACCGCCTTTACATTCCAAGACATTGATTGGTGCGCATTTTATGATGTGTTATACTAAGAGCCAAGTACAATTTTGAATGGTATAAAAAAAACCGAAGTGAATTTGAATCCAAGCTTTTTGATCTTGCAATTTTAAAACACTGAATAACATATTCACAGTGTACAACGGTGACTGGAAAGCGTTAGTTTGTAATATTGAGAACCTCTTCACTAGAGAGAAAGTTGGAATAAGACTATCTCTGGATTATATTGACAGATAAAGATTGGAATGGTTCGGCATTTTAGTGAGAATGCAGCCAGGCCAAACTGCATATGAGAACTTATACAGAAGTACTATGCACCTAGCATAGTACGTAAACATTTTATTTCTATGTTGCTTAGGGTTTTTGGGTTTAAAACAACGGATCAACATCATGGCACAAAGGTAATAACCCATAAGTGCTCCGTTCTACTTCTAACTCAAGCCTGAGTCCAAAGAATCTCAGCACAGTGCACGAACTCTGTAGCACCGGCGAGGACCCTGAAATACTTTGGGTAGATTTTAAACTCAGAATTGTTTGCCCGGGAAACGCCGTTCGGCTACTATTTTTAATTTCCAACTGCCAATATGTTGTTTAGAAATTAGTGAATTTTCACACTCGTGGACCAGGACTTGATTTCCGCGGTCTAATGTTTGTTTATAAGAGAGAAGGGGAAAAAAACCTCTCGTCGTTTTGAGGCAGTGATACCCGGGAAGGCTAATCTGGTCAACAAATCGGATGTGTTGGCCGAAAATCGCAAAAATTGCAGCCATGCTGTAAACGGGCACAAACCAATGACATCTTCAGATGAACGTAGAAGACGAGTTGAAATGAGTTGAGCTGAGTTGAGTCAAGAATTGACATTACAGCACTCGAGTCATTCCAATGAGTGTTCCGTCTTTATCTTCAGCAGCCAGCGCAGAGTTCCACTACTGATGGTACCGGTCACAATCTGGTTATATGTCCGTCTTGCCGTTCCTCTGAGTGTAGTAAGCCGGCCTGACCTCCTGGTGCCTCAATCTCTCCAGGCCATAATAATTTTGTTTCTCTACTGATTCCTTTGCTTGTTTCAAAAGGGCCTTGGCCACATCTACCTTGCCATGTATCAATTCACCACCCAGTGGTGCAGATCCAGCCAATCTGTTTGTCTGTTCATTACCCACTACGCCGTCGTAAAAGACGAAAAAGAAGACACTGGTACAAAGTCTCAGCGTTGAAAAGATTGGGGCCTCACAATGTGATATTCCAAAAGACAACAGTGGGTACACTGTAGCTAGCCTTCATTGTTTAGTCGTAAGGGGGTGGTTCAAATCCGCATGGACCAAATTTTTTTTTCAATATGATCTCGGCTACCAGCTGGACGCAGTGTGAAGTCCTGAGAAGTAAAGGCGGTGGGCTTGATGTTGATCACATCATCCATCGAGGGCAGTAAAAATACGAGTCTAGTCTCATATACCAGATGCGCCACTGACACGTAAAGGGGATTGTTAACATACATGGCGTAAGAGGCATTCATGAGGTGTTGGAATGGTATAAGCTTTCGCACTCCGTTGAAAACTTGAGCTGCAAAATGTAACCTGTCGTGAATAAAACTACAGAGGGCTTGCTCGAAGTTCGCTGAGGGTCTGTGCTCATTCAGGGGATGAAAGAAAAAAGACGATTTTAGGTGACTGAAAAAAATTATCATAATTATTGTATAGCAATCTTTAAACCCAGGCCTTACACGCTTGAGTGAATCAGTCACATGGATGCAGAGTGGATTTGCAGAGTAAAAATGTCGAGTGGATATGCAGAGTGGATATGCAGAGTGGATATGCAGAGTGGATATGCAGAGTAGATATGCAGAGTAGATATGCAGAGTGGATATGCAGAGTGGATATGCAGAGTAGATATGCAGAGTGGATAAGCAGAGTGGATATGCAGAGTGGATATGCAGAGTGGATATGCAGAGTGGATATGCAGAGTAGATATGCAGAGTGGATATGCAGAGTGGATATGCAGAGTAGATATGCAGAGTGGATATGCAGAGTGGATATGCAGAGTGGATATGCAGAGTAGATATGCAGAGTGGATATGCAGAGTGGAAGAGAATCAGCCATCCTGGTAAGCATGGCAGACCAAGGAGTTGGGAACCAGACCTCCAGGACGACACAGAGTTCGCTGGGAAGACAACATCTGATGTCCCTGACTGACAGAGAACCGTAGTGAAACAAAACCATCAAGAAAACTGCTGACAGAGATGTCTGGCGATCTTTCTGCCAAACCTATACACTGCAGGATTTAAGAGGATCGACTGTCAGTAAGTAAGTAAGTATAGCACAATATCTACCTACCTGGTTGTTCTATGTTTGTTAGTACTGAAAGAATGAGTTAGTTGTTTGTCTGCTGCAGCCACTTGTTGGAGTCCCGATGCAGCTGCACTTTTAGATAAGATACTTTGAAGATCTGACATCTCGTGGCTGAACACCGAGTCACTCTCTGATGTGACAGACACTAACCGTCTTATGATGTCTCTTTTCACTTCTTTGTCTGTTAGTATATTTGAGAGAACCTTATAATTTGAGTATCATATAATCTGAGTATTAATTTTAAAGTACCGTATTTCCCCAAGTATGAGTGTACGATTTTGGGACGGAAACACATTGATTTTAGACCCTATATTTATGGGGGGGGGGGGGGGAGAGCGTGTCTTATTCTTGAGGAAATTCGGTAACGTCCTTTAGTAAAATGTAAAATTTCACTCAGGGGAAAAGCGAGACGGATATACCAGACAGTTACTGGTGTCATCAGAATTGGAACTCTTCGTTTGCTGCTGAAGATTTGGACGGAGCGCTTATGGGAGTGTCCCGAGTGCAGTGATGTCGATTATTAATTCAACAGTCTTTAGTATACATTTAATATAATGTTCAGTCTTTAAATATTATCTCTTGCCAATAAATTTCATCACCGTCTTTTACCTCCGACAGAAAGAACTCATAGAAAGAGGGCCTTCAGTCTCTTAGTACATTTGCTGTAGGAGTGGCTACTCAATTGGGGGGGGGGGGGGAATGAAACTAATAAAAGATCTTTTTAAACATATAGGGCTAGAACTATATTTTATAGACTAGACAGTACTGGGTGGGTGATGAAGTTACCATAACGCCGGCCGCCTTTACTTCCCAGGTCTTTACCTAGGTTGTTCAACCTGAGAGCCAAGGTCGTTTTAGAAAAAAAATCCGTCTCCGTTCGAATTTAAACCCACGACCTTCGGATCAACAGACGACCTTCAAGCCGCTACATCACGGCGGCTCCCCAGTAATTCTGATGGCATTGAAACTGTTCTCACTACTGTACTTTACAAATGTAACATTAATTATTTATAAGACGATGTTTTGTTACAAGTACAACTTACCAAGATCATCGTCTGCAGCTGCTTGCTTGGGACCACTTTCTTCTTGCCTTAAATACTGTGTTAGGAACTGAGCAAAGGCTCCATTGTGATCCATGAGCTTCTCAAATGTGCCAGCCTCGGAAATCTGCCCATGACTCATCACGACTATGTAGTCGACATGAGGCAGCCACTGCACACCGTGAGTGACTAAGACTCGTGTCTGTCAGATGTTTTACATATACAATCGTGTGTTAGTTCTAAATTTAAGGCCAACAAGTTCCACCCCCCCCCCTTTTTTTTTGCCCCAAATATACACTGGGGCTTCGCCAAAATCTTTATATCCAGTCCTAACGGATGAAAGGGGTTTCTGGGACTTCTCCACGAGTGATCCTCATCCACATGGTAGCGCGTTGTGTCACCGGGTGTTTATCGCTTGTGTGATGTCCTGCTGGGGTACACAAGCTAACAAGCAAAATCTCTGAAGTGCAGTTTTGGCGTTGTTCATCTGTGAATTTTCAGGGCTTTTATATTTTCACTTTACAATACGCCACATTTCCACATGTGAAAATACTACCCCAAGTATATCAAAATGAAGTATTACTTCAGATTGGACGGTACAATTTCAATTTGCCACTTGAGGTTCAAATGCGATGTTCTTCAAACAATGATTTTGCACTACGGTGAATTTTATAGTGCCGACGATTATTATCACATGTTAATGGTCAAAGAATTTCTAATAGTTTTTTTTTTTAATGTTTACGGTAAAACAAAGATAATCATGTGCTAATTGTAAATGCAATACCAACACACACAAAACTGATCAAAAGCACAGGCAGACTTGACATGTATCAATTATGCAATCAAGTGTCATCTTCATCAGCTGCATGAAAATAAATGCAGTAGTATCTCGGGTCACAATTTTAATTCGCTCTTGGAAAGAATTTTCTCATTTAAAGCGGTGGACATTAAATTAATCAGTTCGCCAACCCAAGAGACACACATACACACACACACACACACACAAACACACACACACACACACACACACACACACACACATATATATATATATATATATATATATATATATAAAACTTTACCTTTGTGGTTGATTGTTGTTGCACAGGTAGATGGTAGATTAAAGGTGAAAGGTTAAAGTCGAGAGGATCGACTTCATTGCACCGGGTTTTATCCCATATGGCTCAGTCTCTCTTCGCAGAAAAAATAGCCAGCTGCCAAGAGCGGCGCGCAGAGCACCAACTTCATAGCTCCGGTAACGATCACCAGGGACCTCATTAAAAAAAATTGCTCTCGAAAACTAAAGGGCGCAGCTGTGGAGCCAACCCATTACCTTTAGAGCGCGAGGCAAACTGCTTGACCTCTTCGCCTCAGAAACCCCAAGAGGAGATGGAAAGCTACTCATTTAAAGGACAGTTTCGTCCATCATAACCTCGGGCGACGAAGGACAGTTTCATCCAACATAACCTCGGGCGACGAAGGACAATTTCATCCATCATAACCTCTGGCGACGAAGGACAGTTTCATCTATTATAACCTCGGGCGACGAAGGACAGTTTCATCTATCATAACCTCTGGCGACGAAGGACAGTTTCATCTATCATAACCTCGGGCGACGAAGGACAGTTTCATCTATCATAACCTCGGGCGACGAAGGACAGTTTCATCTATCATAACCTCGGGCGACGAAAAACAGTTTTTCTATCATAGCCTTGGGCGACGAAGGACAGTTTCATTTCTCATAACCTCGGGCGACTGTGTAGGTATTTCTGGTATTGTTTCTGTTGTTTGTATCCAGGAAAGTGGTCCCATTGCTGGCTCGATGGCTAATAATAATTGTTCCACTTTTTCTGACACAGATGCGGCGACTCGTTAGTACTGTTTCCCATGTTGTAGCGACCCTTTAAAACAGTTCTTTATGTTGTGGCGGCCCCCCCCCCCCCTCCCCAACCATACAATTATTTTCGTTGTTACTTCATAACTTCAGTGAATATGTGTTTGGCGATGGTCTTTGGCGACCCCTGTGAAAGGTTTGTTCGACCCAAAAAGGGTCGCAATCCATAGGTTGAGAACTGCTGTTCTTACACATGAGACCTTCGCTCTGTTAACATAGCCACTACTTTAGCAACATGGGGCCAAAGTCACGCTTGTGCATTCGTGGGCCGAGACATTGTTCGCGGATCGAGTTAAAATTTGTTAGGAAATCGTGTTCGTGAGCCGATTTGCTAAAGACTAGAGACATTCGTGACAAGAACTACCACTGTAAGTTAATTAATCACGGCCCCCCCCCCCCCCACATGCATATGTTGTCCTTTCCATCGTATTGGGCCGTAATGGTCAATCTTGGGTTTAGTATGGCCAGATTTAGGATTGTATTCTTTCTAGTGGGAAACATTTGTTTTAGGGAGCCGTGGTGGCGGAGTGTCTTGGGTTCGAATCCGCATTAAGATAATTATCTATAGTCATATGACCGATGTGCCTTTGGTGCGAAAAGTATCATTTGTATTTTTTGTTTGTTTGATAGTGTTACTGAGAGATACGGTCTAAATTCTTCTGTAAGGTTGGGGATTTTTCAGAGAAATCCTTGTTGGAATCCTCTGTAAGGTTGGGAATTTTTCAGAGAAATCTTTGTTGGAATCCTCTGTAATGTTGGGGATGTTTTAGAGAGATCCTTGCTGGAATCCTCTGTGAGGTTGGGGATTTTCAGAGAGATCCTTGCTGGAATCCTCCGTAAGGTTGGGGATTTTTCAGAGAAATCTTTGTTGGAATCCTCTGTAAGGTTGGGGATGTTTTAGAGAGATCCTTGTTGGAATACTCTGTAATGTTCTGGATGTTTTAGAGAGATCCTTGTTGAAATCCTCCGTAATGTTCTGGATGTTTTAGAGAGATCCTTGCTTGAATCCTCCGTAAGGTTGGGGATTTTCAGAGAGATCGTTGCTGGAATCCTCTGTAAGGTTGGGGATTTTCAGAGAGATCCTTGTTGGAATCCTCTGTAAGGTTGGGAATTTGTTCTGCCGGGAGCAGCTACAACAAAATCCTCACCTGCAAAGTCCGCGGGTAGAGTATTAGCCAAACGTCGTAAATCCTCAGGCTCAAGCCCCCCCCCCCTTTTTTTTTCCCCCTCTCCGGGGGACTACACCGCAAAATTGGAAATCACAGGCAGTAATGACAGTTATTAGGACACTGTTACAGTAACATTTTCATCAACAAAATTGCGATCTTCACGAACCTTATCACTGAGTAAGCCACTTCTACTCAACACGTGATCAAAGATATGCTTGCCGACATGAGAGTCGACGGCACTCAAAGGATCGTCCAGCAGATGGATATCTGCTCCACTGTACACTGCCCTGGCCAGGGATATCCGTTGCTTCTGTCCTCCTGACAGATTGATGCCCTGAAAATCATTAACGATTATAGTGACTTTATTACACACATCAGAAGGAGACATGTCTACTTTTTTTTTTTTTTGGTTATGTCATGGGAAGAAGAAAACTGGAGTAATTAGGAAAGCCTCTTAAACTCAGACATTCTTTTTGGCAGTTTCACATCACAAATACCAGCATCCATAAAGCATATATCGGCTCTGTAGTTAAGTCGATGCGAACGCTTCGTAATGCCGGGATGCCGGGTTCGAGCCATGCGCCTTGCATTGGTTTCGACAGTGGTATCAAAAAAGCCGACCGTCAAGAAAGCAATGGCAAACTACTGGACGTTAATTTGCCTAGAAAAACCACACAGCAGCCAGGGGCTGTTGGGATTGGTTCTACAACGTCCTGTAAAGGATACGCAACTAACCTAATACAGCATATATCAAGGGTCTCACCAACATACCTCTTCAAAACCTGGCGCTGAAAGGCAATACAGGACTAGAGAAGAAAAATAAGTATGTAATTTATTTATTATACACAAACACACAAACACACACACACGCAAACACATACACTCACATATACACAGAGAGAGAGAGAGAGAGAGAGAGAGAGAGAGAGAGAGAGAGAGAGAGAGACTCACACACAAACCTTCTCTCCGATTTCCGTTTGGTCTCCGGCCGCCATTATATCCAGATCCGGCTGAAGCGCACAAGCACTGATCACTTGCCGGTACAACTCTTCATGAAACTCTTTTCCAAACAAGATGTTGTTACGTATTGTGTTGTTCTGAATCCAGGCTTGCTGGGGTACGTACGCCACTGAAGACTTTCAACAGGCCAACAAAAATGCTTTAGTATTACATGAGAAGGCAATTAAAAAAAAGTAGAGATCCCTCTTCACGCCTTTGGGCGCATTGGGCATATGGGAAGAGCACGCATATTTTTACAGACCAATCGGCACTAGGAGAAAATGTGGTCAGCATTACGCCGGTCATCTTTACTTCCCTAGGACATACATCCTGATACCCATTTTAGGCTGGGTCGACCTGCGACGCCCCATACTACGATAAAAATCCACGCAGCCAACCAGTGGGTTTCGACATAAGAAGAAACAGAGGTAAATTGAATTTTTATTCGCAATTAAACTCTGTGGAATCTGTTTTCTAAGATAGGTTTACATTGGCCGGGTAGTTGGGAGGTTGGGCTGTCATGCCGGAAGACCGGTTCATATCTCATTAGGGATGGAAAATAATTTTTAAAGGGCAAGAAGAGAAATTCCAATTTACACAGCTCGTTGGAATTATTATAGTAAGCTGGCCTTTTATCCCCAGGCCCACGATCCCCCAGTGCTGGATTTGGGCATAAGCTTAAAAGGCTGTAGGTTAGAATATTTGTCAGTTTGCATATACATTTTTTTATTTGTTTTACTAAAAATCGAATATGTTTTACAGTTTCCTGAGATTTGCTGGTGTGGTACTTCACATTTTAATTCACCCCAAACAGTTATGGGAGCCGGTAACTTAGACTAAATTAACCATTACTTTGAATTAATGTGTTGGTACAAATGGTTTGGCCGTGCATCAGAGGGGGCGCTATAGGAAGCAATGTTATGCAGATACAGCGGTAACAGACCCAGAGGTCGACCAGGCAGAAAATGGACTGCAAAAATATCAGAGACACTAAAAAGTACTTTATACGAAGCGAACAGAAAGGGCCGTTCCATAGATTTCTTCTTGTCCTGACGCCGCGAGGCATTCCAGGAGTAGAGAAAACAAGAAGAAGTGGAGTGATACAAACTGATGGATGAATATGTAGGAAAAAGCTGAAGTAACAAGAAGAGGGGTAGAACAAGAAGAAGACGACACCAGAAAAAAATGTAATGTAAAAACGAGGATGTACATACTTACATTAAGATTGAAGTAACCATGACGCTTGTGCATTTCTCCCAAGAGAGCAGACAGAAGAGATGACTTGCCAGCTCCAACAGTTCCTACAATTGCCACTAAACTGCCAGGTTTTATGCTCAAGTTTATGCTGTAGAGATATCAACATCTTCAGTGCAACATACGAAGAGTTAGAGCTGGTATTATGACACAGAAGCGCGCGAGTGTATCTTAACACTTTAGTTTCAATCGCTGACGGAATGCTGAACCGAGAATCAGCACCAGGACACTGTTCTCAACATACTTGGTGAGTCAAGTACAACTACGACATGTGTGTACAGATGATCCCTAATCCAGCGGAAGGCAGCAGTGACTGCACCCACCTCCATTCTCAAAATAGCATACACAGAAAATAATACTATTTTTGTTTTTGTTATTTTGCGTTTGTCAGCAGAAACAGCCGTGCCAACAGGGGCACCGACACTATGAAAAACATTGGGGATGTAAACCCAATCAGAAGCTCTCTTCATGGGTCTAAGCCCTGGGTAAGTGCGTATGTATATGTGTATGTATATATATATATATACACACACACACACACACATATATATACATATATATATATATATATATATATATATATATATAAACACACACACACACACACATATATATATATATAACTTTTTTTTCTTTAAAACATCTTCCATCTGTTGTTATCAGGGTACCGAAGTACGTAACGTTTTTATTTCTCTAGCAAGACAAAGTAATTAAAGCACATATTCAAATCTATACCTACATACAGGAACTGTAAAGAATTTGATTTCACACCACCCCCTCCCCCTTTTACCCCTTTCCTTGTTTTATTTTCCTGCTTCAGTGAACTGATCTGACTTTCTACCCCACCAGGACATTACACAAGCGATAAACACCCGATGACACAAAGTGCCACCATGTGAATGAGGATCACTCGTGGAAAAGTCCCAAAAACCGCGTTGAGCCATTTGGCCATATTTTTGGCCTGGCTATATTGCGGCCCCTGGCAAGAGCCAGGATGGGGCTTCAATGAACGAAAAGTGGCATCACACACCAGGATGAGTAAGATTGCAGTGTGCTCCAGCTTTTTCTTTTTATTAAATATTGGCTATCTGCTTATAGATTTCCTTCTTTCTTTCTTTCTTTTTTTTTAATACTATTATTTTACAGAGCATTTTAATATAGATTATGCCCGGCTCTCTAGCGGAATTGGCTAAACCGGATTTCGCGGAGACCGGGTGACGTACTCCTTGTGGTCCGGGTTCAATCCCGGGGATAGGCAGGAAAGCCACATTTTCTCCCAGATTTACGGTATTTACAATGGAATCAAGGCCGAAAGGTTGCGATATCCATAATACCGAGCCTAAGGGTTAACAACTCATGGCTTCTGGATACTAAAACAAACAAACAAACAATATAGATTATAAGTTAGTGTGTATCCTTTAGAGGGCATTGCACAACCAACCCCAGCATTTGAATGGCTGTTGTGGTTTTTCTAGGCACATTTGTTTTTTATACGTTGAGTAGTTTTCCATTGCCCTGAACGGTCAGGTCTCGGTACCACTGTCGAAACCAACGAAAAGTTCTGTCTCCAAATCACCTACAGCGGGGATCAAACCCGGCAGCCCGGCATTTAGAAGCGCGTTCGCAACGCCTAAGCCACAGACGCCGACAATATAGACTATAGACAATTATTATAAAATTAAATTTAACATTAAAATTGTGAACTTAATTTTAAAAAAATTTTAAATGATTTAAAAAATTATATATGCATACTTCTTCAGAATGAGAGGCCCGTGTCTTTCCCATGAGAAGTCTGCGTGAACTACTCGTACAGCCAGACCTGGAAGAAGAATTGTTGTTATTGTTTTTAAAATGTTACATAATTTGGTTTGATGCCGAGAGCTCTTCTTTCCGCAGGTACGTTGTACCAGCACCTTTTTTTTAGACATATTATTTTTTTCCAAGCCTTATTATTATAGCAGACACTTTGTTGTGGGTACGCAACATTTAAAGATATTTTGTGGTGACTAACGGCACCTTTTGTAGATACTTTGTTGTGTGTACTGAAACTTTTTGTATTTACTTTGTTGTGAGTACGGACGCATTTTATAGTTACTTTGTTGTGAGAACTGGCACCATGTCTAGATACTTTGTGGTGAGAACTGGCACCTTGTCTAGATACTTTTGTGGTGAGAACTGGCACTTTGTCTAGATACTTTGCTGTGAGAACTGGCACCTTGTCTAGATACTTTGTGGTGAGAACTGGCACCTTGTCTAGATACTTTGTGGTGAGAACTGGCACCTTGTCTAGATACTTTGTGGTGAGAACTGGCCCCTTGTCTAGATACTTTGTTGTGAGAACTGGCACCTTGTCTAGATACTTTGTTGTGAGAACTGGCACCTTGTCTAGATACTTTGTGGTGAGCATGGGCACTTTTAAGCCGGGGTGGGGCCTGCTGATGTCCATTTTATAAGAGTAACTATCCGAAAACTCTGTAAGTGTCAAAGGTTAGCCATATTTATGCTTGGACAGACCAATCGCAAAATGTCAAACGGTACATTACAGAAGGGATGGGGACAACAAGGTATATACTGGATTTGATCTGTGATATTCTTCTTCTTCTTCTTTGCTTTCATCAGCTGTAAACTCTGGTGGAAAATTCTGCTTGTTCATCCACTTTTGGACTGCAGACCTGTTCCAAAACCTGAGTGTTGCGTGTGCATCCGTTTTACAGTTCTGACTCATCTGTATGCAGACTGCTGGTTCTCTGCCTCTCAGACAGATGCACTCCGACTTCAAAGAAAGCTCTCAATTAGTCGACTCTTACGACATGCTTTTGAGTAGGCAGTGGGTCTGTTCTTGTTTTCCCTATATTAGGACCTGGGAACCCACAGGGGGTATCCATGATATTGAATTGATTGCACACGATAGCACGAAATAGAGGACTAGACAGTGAGCTCTATATACAGGGCTTGATTAGATTTGATGGGGCCCTATACTAAAAAGAGCCCTGACGCCTCTACTACACAGCTAATCGCAGAAAGCTGCAATATATATATATATATATATATATATATATATATATATATATATATATATATATATATATATATATATATATATATATACATATGCACCTTTTGCCCGTCTCTCTAGTGTAGCTGGCTAAACTGGATTGCGCGGTGAGCTGGTGACGAACTCCTTGTGGTCCGGGTTCACTCCCGGGGGTAGGCAGAAAAGCCACATTTTTCACAAATTTACGGTATTTACAATGGAATCAAGGCCGAAAGGTTGCGATATCCATAATACCGAGCCTAAGGGTTAACAACTCATGGCTTCTGGATACTAAAACAAACAAACATATACACCTTTTTAAACATATGAGTGATGGAAATATATTGTTTAATTATTGGCGAAAGAAATAATAAAGAGCGTGTCTGCAAGAACCACACAAATTATACAGTGAAGGTCCCTTTTCCACGCCTTCGGGGAATGTAGGGCTAGACCTATATTTTAATAGACTATTTGGCACTTAGTGGGTGATTTGGTGTGCGTCACGCCGGCCGCCTTTACTTCCCAGGACTGCACCAGGTTCCCACTCAAGGCTGGGCCAACCGGGAAATCAATGTCATTTCTGAAATAAATCCGGCTTCGCCAGGGCGCGAAACCATGACCTTTCTATCCGCAGGCGGGCGTCTAGCTGCCATCACCACAGCGACTCCCAATTGAAAAATAAAATTGCATTAGTAAACGAAGCAAAACATACATTTATTGAGGCCCCTGGAAATTATATGGCTTATGTCTAAATTCAGCACTGCCTGTTGAATAGGCCAGGATGATGATGGTGTACATTTTATTTGTATAATAGCTTCAAAAACTAAATCTGACAAATACAAATTATTTCCCCTTACTATCAGTAGTCTCCCTGTATAAGTTGTCCAGATTCAGGTCTTCGGCATTCAGAAACCTATTTAATCGTTGCACGGAGTTGGCGGCCTGAAACAATCAACATAATTGCAATTAACATACATAGTATTTAAATTGAGTAAAAGTAAAGATCATTTTCACGCCTTGAGGGGCATCCGGCACATGGGAAGAACACCCACATTTTTACAGACCAATCGGCTTTAGGTGGGTAATATGATCAGCATTACGCAGGCCGTCTTTACTTCCCCAGGACGTACATCCTGGTACCCAGTTTAGGCTTGGTCGACCTGCGACGCCCCACACCATGATAAAAATCCACGCAGCCAATACACAGTATTTCCTCGCGTAAAAGAGTTTGGTCTACAGCTTTGTAAAGTCAGCGTACACTTTGGGCAAGGGCAGCACTCCGATGAACGGCTGGGAACAAAAAGGAGACATGAACGACCAAAGGAAAGCGATGAAGGATAGTATAAAAAGAAATTTTTTTTAAAATGACAAATGAAAAAAGATACAACTGGCAGAAAAATCTGTGAATGCCTTGTGTATCAACAGCGTATAATTAATCCAAGCTAAAAATCTTAACGAAACCGGGAAGCAGAATAATGTGCACAAAACATATGCTTCCCGATTTTGCTAAGATTTTCAGTCATTGTTTATTAGAGTAATTCCTTAGCATTAGCTTAACTGCAGTTGTTATACCAATCGTCCTCATGTGGGATGCAATTTTTCGTTATTTGAAGCCCCACGCTGGCTTTTGCCGGAGGCCCTGAATATAGCCAGGCCATAAATATGGCCTAACGGCAGAACGGAGTTTCTGGTACCTCTCAACGAGTGATCCTCATACGCATGGTGGCACTTTGTGTCACCGGGTGTTTATCGCTCTGTGTGATGTCCTAGTGGGGTAAACTTACTTACTTACCTAACTGCAATCATTTCTATTTTTATCAACAGCATAGGTTTTGAAACCTGTGGGCGTTTCCGCGATCATTTTTTTATAATGTCTTTTTTGGTGGTTTTCGCTCAATTTCTCGAAAAGATGTTGCTGATAAATTTATACTACACGGACAACCACAAAGTACAATACCTTAATAACTGATTATTGGTTTAGAATCGACATCATTTCGCAACTACAAGTGCAAGAGGACGGCCGCGGAAAAAATGGATCGACAACATTAAAGACACTCTACGCCTTCACGGCATGACAAAAGCCAGTGGCAGCCAACGTGCACTGGATCGCAAATTATTCCTCCCCACGGCGCCTAACGACAGAAGTGGTTTATGATGATGATGATCATTTCGCATCGAGCATGCATATAGATGCTTCGTCTTTCACAGCACATGTCTTAAAGTTTAGATGCTAACTGTTCCCATAGCACACTGATTACATACATACATATATACACCCCATTCTCTTCATCTCATACGTCCATCGTTGCCCGATCCACACCTAATTCGTTGTTCACATATTCCTAAACAGGTTATTTCCCACAGATTTGCATTCAGTGTTGTTTGTTATATATCTTACCTTAATCCAGTCTTTTACAATATCACACACATTTGCATTCTATGTTGTTATATATGTTACCTTAATCCAGTCTTTCACAATTTCACACACATTTGCATTCAATGTTGTTTTAAATCTTATGTTAATCCACTCTTTCATAATTTCACACATATTTGCACTCAGTGTTTTTATATATCTTACCTTAATCCAGTCTTTCACAATTTCACACATATTTGCATTCAATGTTGTTATATATCTTACCTTAATCCAGTCTTTCACAATTTCACACATATTTGCATTCAATGTTGTTATATATCTTACCTTAATCCAGTCTTTCACAATTTCACACATATTTGCATTCAATGTTGTTATATATTTTACCTTAATCCAGTCTTTCACAATTTCACACATATTTGCATTCAATGTTGTTATATATCTTACCTTAATCCAGTCTTTCACAATTTCACACATATTTGCATTCAATGTTGTTATATATCTTACCTTAATCCAGTCTTTCACAATTTCACACATATTTGCATTCAATGTTGTTATATATTTTACCTTAATCCAGTCTTTCACAATTTCACACATATTTGCATTCAATGTTGTTATATATCTTACCTTAATCCAGTCTTTCACAATTTCACACATATTTGCATTCAATATTGTTATATATCTAACCTTAATCCAGTCTTTCACAATTTCACACATATTTGCATTCAATATTGTTATATATCTAACCTTAATCCAGTCTTTCACAATTTCACACATATTTGCATTCAATGTTGTTATATATTTTACCTTAATCCAGTTTTTCACAATTTCACACATATTTGCATTCAATATTGTTATATATCTAACCTTAATCCAGTCTTTCACAATTTCACACATATTTGCATTCAATATTGTTATATATCTAACCTTAATCCAGTCTTTCACAATTTCACACATATTTGCATTCAACATTGTTATATATCTAACCTTAATCCAGTCTTTCACAATTTCACACATATTTGCATTCAATATTGTTATATATCTAACCTTAATCCAGTCTTTCACAATTTCACACATATTTGCATTCAATATTGTTATATATCTAACCTTAATCCAGTCTTTCACAATTTCACACATATTTGCATTCAACATTGTTATATATCTAACCTTAATCCAGTCTTTCACAATTTCACACATATTTGCATTCAACATTGTTATATATCTAACCTTAATCCAGTCTTTCACAATTTCACACATATTTGCATTCAATATTGTTATATATCTAACCTTAATCCAGTCTTTCACAATTTCACACATATTTGCATTCAATATTGTTATATATCTAACCTTAATCCAGTCTTTCACAATTTCACACATATTTGCATTCAATGTTGTTATATATTTTACCTTAATCCAGTTTTTCACAATTTCACACATATTTGCATTCAATATTGTTATATATCTAACCTTAATCCAGTCTTTCACAATTTCACACATATTTGCATTCAATATTGTTATATATCTAACCTTAATCCAGTCTTTCACAATTTCACACATATTTGCATTCAATGTTGTTATATATCTTACCTTAATCCAGTCTTTCACAATGATAGGCATAATATTGATAGCCAGGCTGATGACGTCAATGTAGTTCATGGTTTGGAAGGAAGTTGTAGCATCCAGGTGGTGGCTGTCGTCCGTCAGCACAAAGGTAATGATCATCAGGTACATCATCTGTGTGTGTAGGAGAAAGCTCACCGTCACTATGTGTATGAATGTGTGTGTGTCTGTGTCTTTGTGTGTGTCTGTGTGTGTATCTGTATGTGTGTGTCTGTGTGCATGTGTCTGTGTGTGTCTCTGTGTATGTACGTGTGTGTCTATATGTGTATCTGTGTGTATATGTTTGTGTCTGTGTGTGTATCTGGGTGGGTGTCTGTGTGTCTGTGTGTGTATCTGGGTGTGTGTCTGTGTGTGTATGCTTGTGTCATTGTGTGTATGTGTGTCTGTGTGCATGTGTCTGTGCCTGTGGGTGTCTGCGTGTGAATGTCAATGTTTGTGTCTGAATGTGTGTTTATGTGTGTGTCTATGTGTATGTATGTGTCTGTGTGTGGGTGTCTGCGTATGTATCTCTGTGTGTTCATGTGTGTGTTCATGTGTGTGTCTGTGTGTGTGTCTGCGTGTGTGTCTGTCTGTCTGTCTGTCTGTCTGTCTGTCTGTCTGTCTGTCTGTCTGTCTGTCTGTCTGTCTGTCTGTCTGTCTGTCTGTCTGTCTGTCTGTCTGTCTGTCTGTCTGTCTGTCTGTCTGTCTGTCTGTCTGTCTGTCTGTCTGTCTGTCTGTCTGTCTGTCTGTCTGTCTGTCTGTAGGTAGGTAGGTAGGTAGGTAGTAGGTAGATAGGTAGGTAGGTAGGTATGTATGTATGTATGTATGTATGTATGTATGTATGTATGTATGTATGTATGTATGTATGTATGTATGTATGTATGTATGTATGTATGTATGTATGTATGTATGTATGTATGTATGTATGTATGTATGTATGTATGTATGTATGTATGTATGTATGTATGTATGTATGTATGTATGTATGTATGTATGTATGTATGTATGTATGTATGTATGTATGTATGTATGTATGTATGTATGTATGTATGTATGTATGTATGTATGTATGTATGTATGTATGTATGTATGTATGTATGTATGTATGTATGTATGTATGTATGTATGTATGTATGTATGTATGTATGTATGTATGTATGTATGTATGTATGTATGTATGTATGTATGTATGTATGTATGTGTGTGTGTGTGTGTGTGTGTGTGTGTGTGTGTGTGTGTATGTATGTATGTATGTATGTATGTATGTATGTATGTATGTATGTATGTATGTATGTATGTATGTATGTATGTATGTATGTATGTATGTATGTATGTATGTATGTATGTATGTATGTATGTATGTATGTATGTATGTATGTATGTATGTATGTATGTATGTATGTATGTATGTATGTATGTATGTATGTATGTATGTATGTATGTATGTATGTATGTATGTATATGTGCCTGTGTCTGTGTGTCTGTCTGTCTGTCTGTCTGTAATGTAATGTAATGTAATGTAATGTAATGTAATGTAATGTATGTATGTATGTATGTATGTATGTATGTATGTATGTATGTATGTATGTATGTATGTATGTATGTATGTATGTATGTATGTATGTATGTATGTATGTATGTATGTATGTATGTATGTATGTATGTATGTATGTATGTATGTATGTATGTATGTATGTATGTATGTATGTATGTATGTATGTATGTATGTATGTATGTATGTATGTATGTATGTATGTATGTATGTATGTATGTATGTATGTATGTATGTATGTATGTATGTATGTATGTATGTATGTATGTATGTATGTATGTATGTATGTATGTATGTATGTATGTATGTATGTATGTATGTATGTATGTATGTATGTATGTATGTATGTATGTATGTATGTATGTATGCATGTATGTATGTATGTATGTATTTATGTATGTATGTATTTATGTAATTATGTATGTATGTATGTGGGTATGTATGTACGTATGTATGTATGTATGTATGTGAGTATGTATGTATCTGGGTGTGTATGTAAATGTGTGTGTAAGTGAGTAAATCTGTGCTTGGCCATTTGTATGCGGTGTGTATGTGAGTGCGCAAGTATGCGCATGCACTCTGCATTCTTTGGTGTGAGTTTTTTGTTGATTTTTCAGACAGACAGACAGACAGACAGACAGACAGACAGACAGACAGACAGACAGACAGACAGACAGACAGACAGACAGACAGACAGACAGACAGACAGACAGACAGACAGACAGACAGACAGACAGACAGACAGACAGACAGACAGACAGACAGACAGACAGACAGACAGACAGACAGACAGACAGACAGACAGACAGACAGACAGACAGACAGACAGACAGACAGACAGACAGACAGATAGATAGATAGATAGATAGATAGATAGATAGATAGATAGATAGATAGATAGATAGATAGATAGATAGATAGATAGATAGATAGATAGATAGATAGATAGATAGATAGATAGATAGATAGATAGATAGATAGATTAGATTAGATAGACAGACAGACAGACAGACAGACAGACAGACAGACAGACAGACAGACAGACAGACAGACAGGCAGGCAGGCAGGCAGGCAGGCAGGCAGGTAGGTAGGTAGGTAGGTAGGTAGGTAGGTAGATAGATAGATAGATAGATAGATAGATAGATAGATAGATAGATAGATAGATAGATAGATAGATAGATAGATAGATAGATAGATAGATAGATAGATAGATAGATAGATAGATAGATAGATAGATAGATAGATAGATAGATAGATAGATAGATAGATAGATAGATAGATAGATAGATAGATAGATAGATAGATAGATAGATAGATAGATAGATAGATAGATAGATAGATAGATAGATAGATAGATAGATAGATAGATAGATAGATAGATAGATAGATAGATAGATAGATAGATAGATAGATAGATTAGATTAGATAGATTAGATTAGATAGATAGATTAGATAGATAGATAGATAGATAGATAGATAGATAGATAGATAGATAGATAGATAGATAGATAGATAGATAGATAGATAGATAGATAGATAGATAGATAGATAGATAGATAGATAGATAGATAGATAGATAGATAGATAGATAGATAGATAGATAGATAGATAGATAGATAGATAGATAGATAGATAGATAGATAGATAGATAGATAGATAGATAGATAGATAGATAGATAGATAGATAGATAGATAGATAGATAGATAGATAGATAGATAGATAGATAGATAGATAGATAGATAGATAGATAGATAGATAGATAGATAGATTAGATAGATAGATTAGACAGATAGATTAGACAGACAGACAGACAGACAGACAGACAGACAGACAGACAGACAGACAGACAGACAGACAGACAGACAGACAGACAGACAGACAGACAGACAGACAGACAGACAGACAGACAGACAGACAGACAGAACAGACAGACAGACAGACAGACAGACAGACAGACAGACAGACAGACAGACAGACAGACAGACAGACAGACAGACAGACAGACAGACAGACAGACAGACAGACAGACAGACAGACAGACAGACAGACAGACAGACAGACAGACAGACAGACAGACAGACAGACAGACAGACAGACAGACAGACAGACAGACAGACAGACAGACAGACAGATAGATAGATAGATAGATAGATAGATAGATAGATAGATAGATAGATAGATAGATAGATAGATAGATAGATAGATAGATAGATAGATAGATAGATAGATAGATAGATAGATAGATAGATAGATAGATAGATAGATAGATAGATAGATAGATAGATAGATAGATAGATAGATAGATAGATAGATAGATAGATAGATAGACAAACTGGTGAATAATCGGATAGACAGATTGATGGATGGGCGATCTGATGGATAGATGGACGACTGGCTGAAGAAAAGAAAAGAGTTCAGTTAGAAGTCTTATATTACCCAAAAGATGGCTGCCAACCAGGCAAAAGATTCCACACCATCGAGGATGGCATATTTGAAAAGGAGTCGCAGCTCCTTCTCTCTGACCTCATTGATCTTCTGTATGAACATTGGCTCCCATCCATACAGTTTGATCACCTGATAGAGAAGAGGCATTAAAATTGAATTCAGAATATATAGCGGATTGATTATGTATCTGTCTTCATCATCATCACCATGCTTATAATCACCATCATTATCATCATCATCATTATCAGTATCCCCATAACTATCTTCATAAACATCACCACCACTTTCATCATCATCATCAACATCATCATTATCATCATCACTATCATGACCATCATCATCACCATCAGGATCATCATCAACATCATCATAATCACCATGCTTATCATCACAATTATCATCATCATCATCATTATCGTGATCCCCATCACTATCTTCATCAACATCACCACCACTATCATCATCATCATCAACATCATCATTATCGTCATCACCATCATCATCTTCATAATCATCCTTACAACTACCACCACCACCACCATCCTCATCATCACCGTCACTATCACCACCACCACTATTATCATCGTAATCATCATCCCTGCCATCATCATCCCCACCATCGTCGTCACCACCCCCTCATCATCTTCACCATGGACGTCGTTATCCTCACTCAGAACTGCAGTTACCTATTGTGGACGTTATAGATGCCCTAATTATAACCTCTGTGAAAGAAAACTGGGTTCTGGGTTCTGCTCTGTTGATCTGCTGCCCAGACTGAGTCTTGTTAATCACAGGGTGGTATGGGAAAGCCTTGACGTAGCACCTCGGAGGTAATAAAGTGATCCATCGAATTCATCTTATAGCCTTTGCGCCAGTGAAGACTTGAATTTTATTATTTCATTCCGTTTCATTCTATGCATTTTTGCCTGCATACTGTGGGGTCCCAAGCTGCAGCTTAGCCGATACCTAAAGCCAGGACTGACCTCGGTAGACAGTCATAACATCTGAAGAGAATCAAGTTTCTCATTTCTCTTACGAGAATTTCCTTCAGCATTGCTCATTTTCTAATGAATTGCTCAGTATTTCTTTAATTCTTTCTTCTTCTGGTTTTTTTTTTCTTTCTAGACCAAGTTCTGCTCTTCAGCACCGAGTTTGAAGAGGCATCTAGTCTGATGCGTGAATTGGTGTGCGCGACGTAGATGCTGATTTTTACAGCCTCGGATACTCTATTTCCTTAGTGATTGCAGTTGGCGGCGTCGAGCTTTGGTTCGCTTCTGTAGTGTCTAGGTTGCAGGTTTTTCTGTAGTGCACTATCTTGTGGCACTGTTGACACTGAACCACTTGATCTATGGTCTCTTTATGTAGTTTAGCACTACTTCCATCCCACCGTTCTTCATTACATGGTTATCTCCGACACTGTCTATTCTTGTTACTTTAAGGTTGCGTCAAATGCATTTTATTTCTGCAGTTTCTATTGATCCTTAATCCACACAACTATTATTAGATACTTTTTCTTGTCTTGGTAGCTAATTCTACACTATTCTTCTGTTACAAAGACAAGTTAAACACATTTTCATAGCAAATAATTCTTGAACTTTCTTATTCTATACAAACATAATCGGGTAACTCATTTGGTAACAAATTCTATGATTTTCTTAATCCATACAGACAAAACTAGATAATGTAATTTGCAGCTAGGTCTAGAATACCATCTTCTACAGAAAGTTTAATAGTTTCTTGATAATTTACTCTTAAACTTCCTTATTCCATAGCGATGTAATTAAATAATTCTCAAGGTAACTAACAAATATGTACAAATCCTTACCTTTATCCCATTCAGAACCTCATTGACTATTTTAACTCTTTCGTCCTTGATCACCATTATCCTGTCCTGGTATTCTCTCATCTTGTTCATCACCCAAAAATTCACAGCGAACATGATTAAGACAATCCCTAGTCCTGAAAAACAGTTCATAATTTAAAAAGTTAGCTATTTTTTCCCCCCGGATTTTAACACTCCTGACCCATTGGTCTAATTTGTATTTACTATTAACTGAAATTCAGGTTAAAAGAACATTGAATTGTTTGTGTGTTTGAAGGGACTGATGTGGACAGCAGGGTAGTTGGCGGGGGGGGGGGGGGGGGGGGGTTAACCAATATAAAAAATTGCTAGACAGAGTGCCACCAATGCTCGAGACGACACAGCCCCTCCCCCCCCCCCCCCCATTTTTTTCCATTCTCATTTGTTTGTTTGTTTTAGTATCCAGAAGCCATGAGTTGTTAACCCTTAGGCTCGCAACCTTTCGGCCTTGATTCCATTGTAAATACCGTAAATCTGGGAGAAAATGTGGCTTTTCTGCCTTCCCCCGGGATTGAAACCGGACCACAAGGAGTTCGTCAACCGGTCTCCACGCAATCCGGTTTAGCCAACTACGCTAGAGAGCCGGGCTTCCATTCTCATTTAAACGGGCTCTTATTCTAGCAGATGACTGACTGACTTTCTACCCCACCAGGACATCACACAAGCGATAAACCCCCGATGACACAAAGTGCCACCATGTAGGTGAGGATCACCGTGGAGAGGTCCCAGAAACCACGTTCAGCATCTAGGCCATTTATGGCCAGGCTATATTACGGCCCCTGGCAAGAGGTAGAGTAGGGCTTCAAATAACGAAAAATTTCATCCTAAAAAGGACGGAAAGTGATTTTGTTCTTATTGCATCACATATTTAGCAGCTCTTGCTATCATAATAATGGTTACCTCTTCTCTATGTTTTCCATCTTCTCCCCCTGAATATACAATGTCCGACAATTAAGTAATGAGACTAATTCCATAAAAATTAAAATAATCAACAGTTGAAGATAAAACCTATATTTTATTCAAAGTAAGCCCCTTGTGCATCGATACAGCAAGTGGCACGATCTAACAAACACTGAAACGAACTCTGTAGATTTTCTGATGTTATGACTCTTAGAGTTGATGTTACAGCCCTTTGGATTTCATCAAACTCGTTAAAAAAAAAAGCGTCTTTTCAATCGAAACTTTAATTCTGGGAATAGAAAATAATCACAGGGAGAGAAATCTAGGAAATAGGTTGGAAGGCTGAGAACACACACTTGTTTTGGGGCCAAACATTCTTGTTTTGATGATGTCTCTTGGGTACTCAACCCGCTGATGTTTTTGGTCATCAAACAACGATTATGGTACAAACCGGCAAGCAACTTTTTTCTTGCCAAAATCTTGCACTAAAACTTTATGAATGGTCTCTCAATGCACTTTTATAGAGTTTTAAAAAGGAATTTAATGTTAGCTTTTTGTTGATTACCTAACAATGCATCTTTGACTAGATCAACAAAATGGCAGGTTGTTTGTTGTCTGCTTATCGAGCGGTGATGAAAAGTTGCCAGATCATAGATGAATGTTGTCTCTTTAGCTTCCATGCTTTGCTTCATAGATTGCATTTTTGTCTTGGCCATAATAAAATCAGTCTCATTACTTAATTGTCGGACCTTGCATAATGGAAAACCTAGTAACCAAATGTTTAATCGGCTGCTGACCGTCTAACTTCACATAACCCTGAAATATCTCGTTTTTATCTTTTAACTTCTTCTGTCACCTGGCTGGACCTTTTTGCCTGCGCCATAGCCCTTACATTCTAAAAATCAATTCCAGTGATTATTTTTGAGTCTAATAGTGCGCAAATCAGGCCACTGACGTAAAACGGCGTCTATTCCTAACTGTCATTCGTGCGCTCTGTGCACCACAAGCCACACGACTCGTTTGTTAGCCGGAGTGGCAGCTTTTCCTGCAAATGTTTGCCGCAACAGATTTTACAGAGTTGGGAAGCTGGTCATAAACCCAGCCCTCCTCATTTCTCATCCGGGCTTGGGACCAGCGATGACGGAGATATTCCATAATTATTGCTTTTTCAATCAGGTTTACAACTGATACTATTAGCATGTCAACTCTTCGTTGGTTACTGAAGAAGGGGACGGAGCAGGTGTGGGAATGTCCCGAGAGCAGTGATGCCAGTTCTTGATTGATTCCTTCATTCAGATTGGTTTTTCGAACAAATAGTGAGTTTGTAATCGAGGACAAATAGTATAAAGTTGGTGATGATGGCCAAATTAATGAAATCGTTATTCCTGCTTTAGAAATCACAGCTTTTACTCACTGCTCATTATTATTATGGTTGGTTTATTCAATAGATCAACATCATGGCACATGGGTGTAACCCATTAGTGCTCCGTTTCACTTTTAACTCAAGTCTGAGTCTGAAAAGTCTCAGCGCAGTGCACGAACTCCGTTGCATCAGCGAGGATCCTGAAATACTTTAGGTAGATTTTTAACTCCAAATTTTGCATGGACAGCGCTGTTGGGTTGCTCGTTTCGATTTGCAACCGCCAGTGGATTTTCTCAGAATACGTAATCAGACGAATACTAGGAATAAAGCCAGTCTTACAGATTATTAACGAAAGACAAATAAAGTGGGTTGGAAACCTAACAAGAATGCCCTGGTACTATCTGCCACAGCGAGCCATACTAAAACGTTACAACGGGTATAGAGCGAGTGGGAGACCACAGAAAATATGGAGTGATGGCAGAGCAGCCATACAGAAATGAACATCAGTCTTGACAGTGCTCTTGGCAGAGCTCATCAACGAATGTTACATCTCCCCTCGACACTTCGATTAGTTACAAGGTGGAAGGAAAGAAGAAAAAGGGATTTTTTTACGTGCACAACAATACACACGAGAGTCCGATCATTCTACACAGGGACCAGAGGGAAATTACTAAAAGTCCACGTGAAAAAAATCCAAGCCTTCACTGGGACTTGAGCCCGGGACCTACAACACTCGAGGCGGACGCCATACTTCGAGACCACGCAGCTCACAGTGACCTTTACAGCTGACCCTTACTCACTGCTGCGCACTTTTAAGGAAAGTCCAGTACAGACACAATACAGCACTTGTCTGGAGTTGGTCATGGCGACACGCGATAAAATGGCACACAACATAAAACAATGAAAGGCTCTAATGCAGTCAGATTCAGAACTGTGTCCAGCTAAGGACGAAACATGTGGCTGATTGTCCTAATGTCGTTTGTCGGAACTTGCAAGGTAACGATCTGTCAGAGAATTACTTTAGAAAAACCGCAGCTTCAATCAGCCTGCGATTCCAGCCTAATAGGTAACGTGGATAGATTTCGTATCGAAGGTGTGATTGCTGGCAATGTCGAGAGTTATCTGGCATCTGGCTGGGAAGGGACAATTTATATTGGGGTGTCATCGAAATTTTCAGAAGAATGGATTTTATGTGAAATCGCAGTGGCAACAGAGTCTTGTAAACCTGATCCCATTAGTCAATGCTTCTGCAGCGGGGTGACCTCAGATACAGGAGCGGTTAGCTTTGTGATTGATCACATAGCAGGGGTAGCACTAAGTGAAAACACCATTAGAGCAAAATGGAAATATAATGCCTCAGTTAGTGTATACTCTAATAACTACACCTTACCACAAATGTACGATGATACCGCAGCAGAACTGGTACTGACTGTTCATGGTACTACCGAAGAGAGCCTAACTGAACCTGAACCTTGTGGTTATTCGCTGACACTAAATAATTCTATTCGCTTGACCGTCTGCTGCAACACCCAATTAACGCCATGTTATCCACGCATTTCATTCAAGGACGATGAAGTCGTTAACAAATCCTGTGTGTCATATCCGAGATCTGAGCTAACTTTGGGTGAAGTTACAGGAGAAGCCGTTCTTACTTACTCTGTGTGTAACAGTACTCGAGAGATTCCAGCAGACACGTGCACGCTGGCCTCCAAAACAACAACAACAACAAAAAGAACAACCACTAAAAAAGCAAAAAATACCATGTCAAAAGGAACAACTTTAACCAGAACGACCATAACTAGACCAACCCTAACCAGGATAACAACTTTGCCATCTGGATCATCAACCGCAAAAAGCTCAGAAACAACAACTCTGGGATCTTCTACAGAAACTAAAGATTACAGAAGGGTAGCAGCGCTGGCCCCAACCGGAAACCAACGAGATGATGAAAACTTCATCATGTATCTCGTGCCTGGTCTTTTGATATCGGCTGTTGGATTTACCTTCTTTGCTGTATATGGGTTTTTCCCAGACGTCTACAAAACCAGTTACCAACTAGGCGGCGTCGATAGTGGAGGTGGCAGAGGAACAGATGGTACACATCCTGGATTGCAAGATGTTGCTGAGCAAGCTGCCTCTTTTGATGACGATGTTGGTACTGAAGTGTAGAATGTTGACAGGACTGACAGTATGTCTATACCGCAAGTCGCTTGGGGGTGTCCTGTGTCTCCATCCATTAAAATAACACGGACAAGAATGCTAGGCTGTCTAATCTCTCTCTCTCTCTCTCTCTCTCTCTCTCTCTCTCTCTCTCTCTCTCTCTCTCTCTCTCTCTCTCTCTCTCGCACGCGCGCGCACACACACACACACACACACACAAACACGGAAAGAGACTGCCAGTTATTTTTAAACTTGTCCAAAAGTAGCTTCGAATCCATTTAAATAATTGGGTGCCACGTCATAAAAATGTGTGTATGTATAGTGCAAACTTTCGGAAAGTCCTGGTTTTCGTCCATTTGGCTTCTATCTTTGTGCCAGGGCCTTGAGTTTTGCGCGTACATCCGTTGTACCGGTTTATTTGTGTGCAGTTGGTTGTTCCTTGCCGCTCGGGCAAATGCACTCTGAATTCTACATGCTCATCCATTTTACAGGTCTGTTATATGTTATGCAGACTGTTGGTTCCTTACCTATCAGGAAGATCTAATTAGTCTACTTTCGCGACATGTTTCTTAGGGTGGCACTGTGGCTCTATCCCCGACCCCTGACTCCCACAGTGGGTTCCAGGAACAAATACCGAACAGCCATTTGTTTGGTACTGAATGAATTTGTTTAAGGCAGCGATTTTTCAACCTACCGTTGGCGACCCTTTTTTGAGTTAAACGACCCTTTCACAGGGGTCGCCTAAGAGCATCAGAAAACACATATTCATTCCCGTTATGAAGGAACATAATTGTTTGGGAAAAAGGGGGGGGGGGGGGTCGCCACAACATGAGGAGACTGTATTAAAGGGTCGCGGCATTGGGAAGGTTCACAGCCACTGGTATAAGGTGAAGTGAATGTAAAGATGTTTTACACACACGTATATATTTTTACCTGACAGCAGGGCGATGCCGACGATCGTGTAGAGCAGGTAAACTCCGAACCCTAGGTAGAGTATGGACATCCACATCCAGTAGGAATAGTTGACCATCATCTCAATGTGGCCCGAGTCCACTGACATCAAGTTGACGATTTCCCCCAGCGTCGATTCTTTCCTAGCCTCTCCGCTCACTGTTAGAGCCTAGAAAAATAAGACCTCCTTTGCTGTACCACAAACCAATGAAATAGGCATGCAGCCACCACTAGTGGTTGCCGTGGGATGGGGGTGGGGGGAGGGGGGGGGGTTAACTCAGCTGGCTAATAACTTTGAATGGCTGGGCATCGGTGGGGATTAAGCTATGTTAAGTGCGCATTTTTAACAATAATTATTGTTGTTATTATTGTTATTGCTATAATAATTAGTGTATGCTGAGTGGCAAATACATATAAAAATATATATCAATTAACATGACATTACAATCAAATATATCAGTTAATATGTGTTTTCCGACGGTCTTAGGCCCCCAAAAGGTCGCGACTCACAACCTCATCATCATCATGTGCCCTGCCAACTGGCGTCGGCGCTCATGCGTCTCCACAGATCACGATCCCTGGTTGGCTGAAACAGTTCTCTTGATGATATCCCACCATGCCATCGTTTCAGCCTATCCAACATCATTTCTCTTGGTCTGCCTCTACCCCTTTTCCCACTGATCTTTACAGTTGTCACGATATTCTCCAATGTCTCTCTTCTCGTTATGTGACCAAAGAACAGTGTTTGTCTCTGCCTTACTGTTGTAAATAGAAATCTAGTGTTATTAGCTTCTTTCAAGCAATCGTCGTTAGTTTCTCTAGCCGTCCAAGGTATTCGTAACATTCGTCTTTCGACCCACAACCTGAATATCGCTTATTTGACCCCTCTTATAAATTGCCTAGAGCCGTGGCTGTCAACCTTCCTAATGCCGCGATCCTTTAATACAGTTCCCTCATTTTGTGGCGACCCCGAAACGATTTTTTCCCATCAAAACGTCAATGAATATGTGTTTTCCGATGGTCTTGGGGGACCCCTGTGAAACAGTCGACCCCACACAAAAAAGGGTTGCGACTTGCAGGTTGAGAACCACTGGTCTAGTGGATAGAGGCTTATCATTTATTCCAATGAATAGGCGCCAGAGCCTAGCTATGGGCACAGCGCCCTAAACCTTATTTTTAAAAATCATTGTGGTGGGGGTAAGAGGCTCGATGTTTTTGGCCTCTAAGTTCTAGATCCTATGCATTGAAATAATATGACTAGCAAAACTAGGATAGCAGTACTTAAAATATGTTATCATTTCCTATTTACGGTCTCATTTCTGAAATTTACTTCAGACACACACAAAAATTGTATAAATTACAACCGTTAAAGTTAACGTATAATTTACAACCGTTAAAGTTAACGTATAAATTACAACCGTTAAAGTTAACAGTCTCCACTAATGTTGATTTCTGTCATAATTTCTCTGTTTTTTTTTTTTTTTTAATGTCTGAGCTTAGAAAAATTGTATTTGGGTTCTTGCTTGGCAGGAGGACAAATTACGTATTTCTGATGTTGAGTTGTTTTCTCTTTTTTTTTTTTTTTTTCTTTTAGGTATACATTTTAATAGTCTATAGATTTTTCTTGTGACTGGTGTACTAATCATTTGATATAGGCATGATAGTTTTCAGCAACAGGGCACTAGCTATGTGTCGGGAGCCAGTTTACTAACATGTTTACTACATTGTACTGACATGTCAAGAAGATCGGAACATAGTGGAAGACTAACTAGTTAACATCATCTTGTCTTTTTTTTTTTTTTTTTTACTGAAGTATTTTAGTAACATTAAACGCTAAGGTGAATTGGAAAAGCCCGTATGTGAACTAGGAAAGTGCAGCGGCCGATCTGCTATTACTAGTCACTCTCTTGTGGTATGCAGTTTTTCGTTAATTTGAAGCCCCACCTTGGCTCTTGCCAGAGGCCGCAATATAGACCGACCATAAATATGGTCTAATGGCTGAACGCGGTTTCAGGGGCCTCTCCACGGTTGATCCTCATCCACATCGTGACACTTTCTGTCATCGGGTGTTTATCGCTTGTGTAATGTCCTGGTGGGCTAGAAAGTCAGTCAGTCAGTCAGCGGCCAACCAGCACCAAGGCGGCAGGGGATATAACAGATACCTCGGGTAGAAAAGTACACGAGACGAGAGAGTTGGTGAGAGACTGAGTTGTTTATTTACTTTATGTCGGGGTGTGATAAGAGCGAGATTCTGTAAAGATGTTGCTTCGTTATGATGATGAAGATGATGCTGCCATGTATTTGATAACAAACTTACGCACAAAATATTGACAATTTCTTCAAATGTTTACACATTAAATTTGTATCGCTACCTTCTGTACGACCGTCTACTTGTGCTTGATACCCACAATCGTCGGGGGCCCTAAATATAGCCAGACCTTAATTATGGCCTAACAGCTGAACGGAGTGTCCGAGACCTCTCCACCGTTGATCCTCATCTGCATGGTGGCACCTTGTGACACCTGGTGTTTGTCACTCTGTGTGATGTACTGGTGTGGTGAAACGTCAGTCAGTCAGGCACTACTTTTACTGAACCTAAACTGGTTCTTCGGAAACTTCGTTGCCTCCGTTATTTTGCATACTACCTAAATACTTAGATTCTATCTAAATAAAATTTACCTTCCTGAAAACGCTGGCTATCCCGGTGCTGTTCATACGTAAAGCCAGACAGTTTGTCTGAAATTTGGCCATGACACCAAAAAAGAAGTACAGCATCTTTGTAAATATAAATGCCAGCGTATAAATATATCCATGCCACGTCCACTCAGATGCATTCTGGGCAAAGGCGATCAACCACCTGTCCGAAATATCCAGAACAAAATAGTCAGATCATCAAAATACATATATTAAACAGTCAACATCCCAGTGTGGGTTCGGGGGCCCTGTTTTAGAAAAAAACAAGAATAGACCCACTGCCTATCCAAAAGCATGTCGTAAAAGTCGACTAATTGTGAACTTCTTTCAAAATGCGAGTGCATCTGACTGAGAGGCAAGGAACCAGCAGTCTGCACACTAGGGAGTTAGATCTGTAAAACGGATGCACACGCAAAAATCAGGTTATGGAACAGGACTACAGTCCAGATTTGGAAGAACAACCAGAACTTCTTGCTAGAGTTTACAGATGGTGAACGCGAAGAAGAAGAAGAAGACGAAAACAGTCAACAGTCATTTTTTTAAGCATATTTATGACCTATTACCTTTTCCAAACGTGGATTTATATCATTGTATGGGGTGTCGCCGGTCGACCCAGCCAAAAATGGGTACCATGGCTGTCCTGGGGAAGTAAAGACTGTCGGAGTAATGCTGACCACATTACCCATCCAGTGCCGATTAGTCTGTAAAAAGATGGGACGCTCTTCCCAATTATCTGATGCGCCTAAGGCGTGAAAAAGGATTTTTACTTTACTTTTTACCTTTTCCAAACGTGTTAGTCTTTCAGCACTCTTCTTCTTAAAATCAATGCCATCTGGCATTGGTAGTCATGTCTATCCACAACCTTTTGCATCATGTACATTCAACAAACTCTGACACAGATGATCCTTCACGCCATGATGTCAAACTGACCAGCATCTGTTCTCTAGGTCTCCCTCTGCCTCTCCTCCCATCAAGCTTTCCTACTCTCACGGTGTACTCCGGTTTTCTCCATCTCATCACATGACCAAAGAATGCAGACTGTCTCTTTCTGATGAAGGCAATCAGTTTTCTTCATGAGTCAGTTTCTTTCAAGACATTCTCTTTACTCTTTGTATCTGTGCAGGGTTTTGTCATCATTCGTCTATGAAAACCACATCTCCGCAGCTTCCAAATTTTTTTTCACTAATCTACCAACTATCTATGGTTCATTTCTGTATATCAAGATATAGTTTATATAGCTTTTAAGAATTATCTTTCACGTCTCAACTGACAAGGAAAGATTACAAAAATGAGCTTCATTTTGGTATTCTTTACATCTAAATTGTTCATTAATTTAGTAATTAGGACAATGTCAGAAACTGTAGAGTAGATGCAGTTCAATAATTCCGACATACCAGGGTATGAACTGGACAATTCAAATTCCCCGAGCATAAAAGTAAAAGACCCTTTTACAAGCCTTTAGGCGTATTGGGTATATAGGGCTAGACCTATATTGTAGAGACCAAACGGCCTTTGGTGGATGATGTGGTCAGCGTCAAGCCGGCTGCCTTTACTTCCCATGACTGTACCTGGTACCCGCTCAAGCCTGGGTCGACCTGGGAGCCGATGTCATTTGAAAAAAAAAAAAAAAAAAAAAGAAGTCCGGCACCTGTCAGGACGCGAGCCCACGACACAGCGAGAGATGTCTAATGTAAATCAAAGAATCCCGTTTCACCCTTTCAAACGTTTTGGGTATATAGGGTTGGACTTATATTTTATAAACCAATCGGCACTCGGTAGGTGACGTGGTCAAGATCATACGGGCTGCCTTTACTTCGCAAGGCTTTACCAGGTACCCATTTAAGGATGGCGGATAAGGAGGTTTCAAGGCAGAAAGGGGTGGGGGTCAAGTAATTTAGAAAGTGGGTGCATTTGTACTTATAAACAATCATTTACTAACATTTTGTTGTAGTTAAGTTATAAATAAAATATTGTGTAACTATTGGTTAAATAAAACGACAATGGCAGTTTTGTTCCAATGAGCAGTCTGTAATCTACAATTAAGATGGAATTAATATTGATAACACTCGCATTTAATTATAGATTTAAAACATATTCTGACCAAAACGTATCTCCATAATTTGTTTTTCACTTGTTGTGGAATCTATTGACTTCTTTTCTGTCAAATGTTTAAATGGCCGGGGGGGGGGGGCCTTGCCATATACTCAATAGGGACCTGAGAGTCTTACCATATACTCGGAGTGGGGGGGGGGGGGTCACTTGAGAAAAGGAAGGAGTTCTCTAGTCTAGGGGAGGGGAGGGGGGGGGGGTTAAGGGGAGGGGGGCGAAACATAAAGATTTGAGCCTCGTTTAAGTGAGAGAAAAATAGTAATGATTATGGTTATTATTATTACTACTACGTATCGAATAGAAAATGATACGAAATTATTCTTTAAATAATATAAAGTTAATAAAAAAATACTTAAAAATTAGAAGGTCTACAAATTATTAATAGGACCACTTAATCCCTTGCAAATTTTCTAGAAAAGGGGAGTGCGAAGTGCCTGAACTTCCAGGTGTCTACGCCTATGACAGTGAATCTGGCACCGAATGATTGAGCCTGGCTTGCAGCACTGAAATACACTTACCCAAGCACAAACGGGCTGACAATACTGGCGACCACGTTTGACAGCATCCCCCAGTTACTGGCCAACCCTTCCAGCCAGTAGCATTTTACCAAAGCCTTTAAAAAGGAAACTCTTGGTTTCACGGTGTCTTTTACTTCTATCACTTTGTTATCGTCCTGGATCTTTTCGTGGTCGTTGATGTTTGTTATATGACTTGGTTGGGCATTGGTCGTTGATACAACAGACGAAGATTTTCTGTAAGACACTAGTAGGGGTGTTTTCTCGTTGCTTTCTTTGTTGCCGTTGTTTAGTGCAATCTGCTTTTGATTCTTTTTCTGTTGACTGAAAGTATAGAATTATACATTAGTAAAATGGTGAGTTTATATGGGTGAAAGTATAGAATTATACATTAGTAAAATGGTGAGTTTATATGGGTGAAAGTATAGAATTATACATTAGTAAAATGGTAAGTTTATTTGAGGGAACGTACACAATTATGCATTAGTAAAGGTGTGACTTTGTGTGGGTGAAACCATATAATTATGTATTAGTAAAATGGCGAGTTTTTGTGAGTGAAAGTATACACTTATGCATTGGTAAAGTTGCGGGTTTGTGTGAGCGAAACCAGAGAATTATTCAAAAGTAAAGTGGCGAGTCGGTGTGAGCGAAAGTACACAATTAGGCATTGGTAAAATTGTAAGTTTGTGTGTGAAAGTATAGAATTATAGATTAATGAAGTTGTATGTTTGTGTGAGTGAAAATATACAATTATGCATTAGTAAAGTTGTGGATTTCTGTGAGTGAAGCCACAGAATTATACACTAGCAAATTGGCGAGTGTGTGAGTGAAAGTAAACAATTATGCATCAGTAAAGTTGTGGGCTTGCGTGAGTGAAAGTATAGAATTATCCATTGTTACAGTGGTGAATTTGTGTGAGTGAAAGTATCGAACAGTATATTAGATACATTTTCGTGAATCCTGAAGTGTTCACTCGCCCCTCACAATGTCCTAGTAATTTCAGTGTATTGTTGAACTCGTGGTCACTAAGCGGTCATCTTAATGCTAGTCCGTCATTCACTATCATCACCCACAGTCGTCCCATAGCCACACAGGCTCTTGACAGTGCACGTCTTTTGCATTCCATCCATTGAGCTTTCAGTCACATTTTATGCCATGTAGCACTTTAAGCATTAGTTCAATCAACTATAGAAAGGCAATGTACAATAAGAAATTTGAAAATAAGAAATTACAAACTGTAAACACACTAAATTTAATTGGCAGCCAATCTGCATCTATCAGTTAACATGTAAGTGTCAGTTGACTTACATCGGTAGAACGGAGAGACAGGTTGAAGACAGAGAGGCAGAAAACATCACTAAATGGCTCCACACACAACTGAGTCGGGATCCTGCATCAAAAACAGCCAAGAAGAGAGAACCCAATTCTTCGATGGGACGTCATTTGCTTGAACTCTAGACACGTAGCTGATTAAGATTGTGCTTTCAGTATTTTTTACCACACACAGAATAGACTGTCGTTAAAAGTGTCTATACAACTCTTCTCTTCTATGTTATGCATACAGAAAGACTACGTGATCAATTTGACGTTACCATGGTAATCACGTGACGAAATTTGAATTTCCGGCGGATAGATGTACAGTGACTCGACAGTGTGTGTTTTATGTTGATTCAACTATGTGGCAATACAGCGAAATATGTCAGGCAATAAATCGTGCAATATATTGTTTGTGTTGACATTATTTAAATTTACAACGGGAAAACATAATTTTGAAGAAATAAAATATTACCTTAATTTTCTGGCCTCTTCTTGTTTCCAGACGCGCAGGAACTTGGTAATCACCCTTTCAGTTGTGTCTCGAGGATGAAGCTCATAGACGTCATCGCTCATTAACGGAGTCTTGAACCCGTTTAGCATTAGTCTGTGGGAGATTTGTATTTTAAATTTTTTACTACTGACGATGTCGGATTTGTTCCCCTTCGAAAATGACCTTGGTTCACAGGTCGACCCATCCTTGAGTGGGTACCAGGTGTAGTCCTGGGAAGTAAAGGTGGTAGATGTGGTGTTGACCACATCACCCACCGAGTTCCAATTAGTTTATAAAGTATACGTCTAGTATACGTCTGCTATATTCCTTATACGCCTTAAGACGTGGAAAGGGATCCTTCGCTTAAGTTGTTTTTAAACCACAAATGTAAGTATGCTTAAACAATTAAATCTTCCTTTATCTATGCTTAATGTAAAGTAAATAAAGTAAAGATCCCTTTTCAAGCCTTTAAGCGTATCTTCTAAATGGGAAGAGCACCTATATATTTACAGATCATCCGCACTAGGTGGGTAATGTAAGTAAAAGTAAAGTTCCCTTTTCACGCCTTTCGGCGCATCGGGCATATGGGCAGAGCGTCCCATATTTTTACAGACCATTAGCACTCTGTGTGTAATGTGGTCAGTATAAGCTACAAAGTATTGCTATCTGTATGGCATGTTTTTATGGTAAAGCCCCTGCAAGCGAGTTACAGCAAACATTTTGAGATCATCCATCTTTTCTTTGACAACGTATGTATGTGGGTCATGGAATCCTACTCGATCACTTAAGAACCAATCAGAGCTTTTGAAGTGAATTGCTACAGAAACATTCTTCCAATACACCAAGGAACAAGAATAAGGAGAAGAAGAACACCAACATCCTACATGATCTTAGCATGGAGGAGAATTGGCGCATAAACAGCATCCTGTCGTGGAAGCTGATGTGTGAACAGTCGATATAAGATATCGAACATGTATTGACCATGAAAGCACGTAGGGCTGGAGAATTGGCTAGAGAAAGAGAGACTTTCCAGGGTGTCGTGACGGGAGCGACGTTCTGTAAACTAAATACTGACCATGCGCACTGCCCAAAAAAACCAACACATTTTCTAGGTACAAAACCTTCAAAAGGGGAGGGGGGGGGGGGGACAGATGTTGAGTCACATTAGTAAAACATTGTGGCAAAGGGGGGAGGGAGCCACTTAACCTTCACCTCCCGTAACTATAACTTCTTCACCACCTCGGCAACAAAACCGGATGGGGGAGGGTGAGTGGCTCTGACCTCTTCAACCACCACCAGCCCAGTAAAATAAGAAATAAGTGGAGGGAGCGCCCAAAGCACTCCCTCCTTACCTCTTTGCACATTTTTTTTACGCAAATAATTGGGGAGGGAAGAAAG